AGTAAACACTGCTTTACGTAGCTAATACTCGTAGCCTTTGTCTGAGAGTCATATTAGGCAGTCGTTGGATATTTCAGCACACCCCCTGTGTGCTTTGCACTATGCTGGGAGCTGTGGAGTGTAGAATAACCATTAGCTACCGTCCATCTCTGCAAGGAGGTTATACAATAGTTGAGGATGGCAGAGAGATTCAAGATAAGTATTTATACTAGCATAATCTGTAAAGGGCCACTTGAATAATAAGGACAACAAAGGCAAATGGCACTGAGAGAGAGGTGATTACAGTACAGACTAAAATCATCTAGAAAAGTTTCCCAGAGTAGGGAGAGTATATTTTTAGTGTTAACAAGAGGGAGTGATTGAATTTTTTAAATGTTTTTATTCTCTTTTTTATTAAAAATCTTTCAAGTAATGACTTAAAACTCGAGGATTTCAGCCAGAATTTTCCTATCCCAGTTAGATCGGTATCAGTGGTTCTCAATTAGAGGTGATCCCCCCACCCCCACGAGGGGACATTTGGCAGTCTTATAAGCATCTGGTGGGTGGAGGCCGGGGATGTACAGGACATCCCCCTTCTCCCACCCACATACACACCAAAGAATTCTCCAGCCTGAAATGTCAATAATACTGGCTGGGTGGTGGCTCACATCTGTAATCCTAGCACCTTGGGAGGCTGAGGCAGGAGGGTCTCTTGAGGCCAGGAGTTCGAGACCAGTCTGGACAACACAGCAAGACCCCCATCTCTACAAAAAAAAAAAGTCAATAATATTGAGATCGAAAAACCCTGATATGTGTACTTGAGGGATAATGAAGTGACAGTGGGATCTAACCACCCTGCCACTAGTTTTATGTGTCCTCCAGGACAGGACTGGGCTGGAATCAGTTAGTCAGTGGCATATGATTAATCAGTTCTGAGTTGTTCAGCTTAGTTTAGTGAAAATCACAGTCTAACCCAGGGACATAATGAAGAATTACTGACAAAAGAGAACTATATATGAATAAAAAACCCCTTTTTGCACTTGACCCACGTTTACGAGACATTATATAAGACATTGTACATGTCTCAACTCTTTACATGTTACCAAGACCTGTGGGCTTAATTGGAAACAGTATGGAAGTTAGAATCAGAGAGTCCTAGATTTCAAGTTCTGGTTCTAGCTCTGTGACTTTGGACAACTGTCTCTGAGTTACAGTTTATTCTGTAAAAGAGAAAAATAAGATAAATCTTCTGTAAAAGAGGATAATACAATAAGTAAGATATATGCTGATCTCTATTTGTGTGCAGAGGGATGTCCGGAAAGTATCCACCCATGTAACCGTTATCGTATTAACAATGGCAGGATACTTTCTGGGCAGCCCTGGTGTTTCTGTGTAGAAGGAATACTTTCTTGGGAGGATTAAAGAAGCATGGTATGTTGAGTACTTAAAATATTACTTTACGCAGATTTAGCACTCAGTAAATGTTAGCTACTGTTATTAACCTTTACAAAAATTCTGCAAGGTGTTGTTATACCCACTGCATAAATGTGGACACTGAGGTACAGAGAAGGTATAAGTTGTATGAAACCACACAGTAAGTAGTAGAACTAGGATTCAAATCCATGCCTTTATTAAATCTACAAATTCATGTGCTTATCATATTGCCTTGATAAATAATGGAGAAGTAGGAGAAGAGCACTAAAGTAAAAAGGAAATAATACTTTTAAAAAAAATTACTTTTCCCCTTTCCCCATACTAAAATTTCCCTTTTTGCCTATGTTTTAAATTCTCTAATGTCTTATGTAATGTAAGACAAAATTGCTATGTGAAATGCATTTTATATTTCTAAAATAACAATGTGCTTTTAGATTTGTAAAGAGATAGCCAACAATTTTATATATTTCAAATTTTCTTGAAACTGCTTATTAAAAAATAAATTATCATCCCTAAGGCTGAAGAATTTCCCATTTTAAATCTTTATACTAGAGGCTATAATTTTGTTTCTGATACTTACTGGAAGAACCTATGCTAATGGCCAACACCACCAAATTTTTTTCATGATACTTTAATTTTTATCTATGATTCCACTGGTGTCAACTTATTAGACTGCTGAAACTCAATCAAATGTTTTTAGGACTGGAGTTTAATATACTTATTATGCCTTCCATAATACTTTATTTTATATCACTTAACAGCTTGTCTTTTCTGCATCTGTAAAGTTCCATCAGAAGAGTTGAGTAGGTGAATTTATTTATTCCTTCCTAGTATAGTATTTTGTGGCTTCAATAAAACCATAGATGCTAGAGCCAATTTCAACAACTACCTGGTAAAGGAATAAATCCTTCTTAACAGGAATGACATTTCCATGCACTGAATCTTGGGGAGAAAAATCTAGCAAATAAGAAAAGATTTATGTAATTCTTTTCTATAAGAATAGTTGTACAGTGGGCACATGTGGGCAGAATTTTAATAAACACTGGATTAGGCAAAACCAAGAGTTTTTTTTTAAAGCCATAAGGGTAGAAAATAGTTTTCTGAGCAACATTAATGTGCCAACAGTCTGCTTTGGATAAACAAAATGAATTATTTTTCTAATTGCATAAATTTGTATGTTTATAACTTTCTTAAAATATATAAACAGTAGAATATAATGAACTCTCTTATTAGTTGACTAAATTCTCAATTGTTTATATGAAAATACTGAGCAAAAGTCCTTCTAGCTGATTATAATTAGCCTGAAACCTGATCATAAACTCGTAGTCATCTGTGAATCTTATTAAAAGGATTCTGAAATTTAAGGTCCTTTTTTCTCTCTATTAAGTAATTTAAAAAAAAAACCTAAGCCCGGCTAATTCCACGTTACTGTTTAAGAGATGCTAAAGACTGCCTCTTTACTTCATAAAATCACAAACTTCTAGAGTAGAAGGGAGCTTAACAACCATGTATAGCAACCAACTCATTTTACAAATCAAAAAATTGAGGCACAGAGAGATTGATTAATATGTCTAAGATCAAACAGGTAGGCAGAGCTAAGAATGAAAGCCGGGTTTCTGACTACTATCCCAGTTCTCTTCCCACTGTTTTGACTTTTTCATAATTTTATCCATTAGAATTGAAGCATTAAATTGTTTTCAATTTTTTTATTGTAGTAAAATACATATAGCATAAAACCATTAAATTTCAAAAAATCTCTTTGAATAGATGAATAATACATGAACATGAACAAAAATCCAAAGGTACACAAAGGTTTACAGTATACAGTAATGAGTCTAGCTCCCACTCCTAACTGCTCTCCATCCCAGTTCCCTCCTTGCAGGCAGCCACTGTAAAGAATGAGGCATTTTAAATAGACTGCTTTGGTCTAATAACATGCATAAACTGACATTGTATTGCATTATTCTTTATGAGTTGCAGTCTGGCCTGCCAAGTTTAGAGAATGCCCAACAGAGAAAAAACATAAGCTGTGGAATTGGAATATGGAGAGATTTATGAATTGGATTTGAAAATTACCCAAAGTCTAAGTTATTTCCAGTAATAAAAATGAGGGTTCTCTTACAGTGGTAGTTTATTACTCAGATATTGCCTTTTGTACAAATAGCTTAAAGTGTATTATAAGAGCTCTCGTGTATCCTCATGACAGGTAAATCCCTGTCTGATGCTGTCTGTTGCATAACTACATTCAACTGCTTTAAAGTCAATAGCACATTGGCCAAAAGAAAGAACCATGTTGATGTTTGAATAAACATCCTCCGGCTCTGAAACTGTCAGTGTAGGACACAGCATTGATCGACTTCTCTCAGGCCTCTGATCCTCAGCCTCCTACCTTGATAAAACCTTAGTGCCCTGTCCTTGGATTGAGGAGGTGAAGGGGGCTCCAGGAGTACACATGCCCCTATGACCATGCTGCCACTATTGAGGTAGCAGCAGCCTCTTAGTGCTGCCCAGACAGTGTAGCCTTAAAAGCATAGGTCCTGGGTTGATGGCCGCATGGGACTGCCTCCTGGGTTGAGAGGTCCTGTGCAGAAAAGCTGAAGGCTGTAACGCCCAGCAGGCCACAGCTGGGGCTTCATCCCCGTTGAAAAGGCAAATCTCCCCAGGTGAAAGGAAGAAGGAAGGAAATGGCAAAGTTTCTCTTTTTTGATACCTCTGTGTTGAGGAGTACTGACGAGAGGTTTCTTCTGGCAGGGGAAAGGGTGTGGGAAGTTTGTAGGCGGTTTAGAGAAGAGAGATGAGAGTGGGTTCAAGGAAGGGATGGCGAGAGGAAAGGTGAGATGGAAGGAAATTGTCTTTTTGAGAGAGTAGTTCTTTGCTTCTCTACTGTTAGACTCTTGGACTGTGGTTTGATATTCTACTCTAAGGCAATGGTTTGCAAATTTCTCTGATCCTAAGACTCTCCTAGTACTTGATAAAAGTTGAGTTTCCCTGGCCTTTGTCCTAAAGATGCTGACTCAGTGAGTCCCAGGTAGAGTCCTTGAATACTGGGGTAGTTTTAATAAGTGCTCCAGGTGACTCTGGGGATGACTACGGGATCAAGGATGGCACTCACACTTTTGTCAGTTCTAGATGTTCTGCTCCAGATTTGTCCTCTGTTGTAAATACAAACATGGGGACTGGGAGCCTTAACTGCAGTGGCTCACTCATACCCAGATTAGCATGCATATTCCATCTCACCTGGTATTAAGACCTTGGTGTGGATTTTTAAAAATGTTTTTGATTATTTAAAACAATGGAACATTAGTGCATAGTGACTGTTAGGACAGTAGTGGTGTCAATCTTTGCAAATAGAACCACCGAGTGGCCTTTTGTTCGTTGTAATGGCCCTGCCATTATTAGCCATACCTGGGCTAATAGTGTGTGATCTTAAAAAAATTTATTCAGAATTGAGAGTGTATGGTAATGGAAAATAACTTTTATAGTTAGAACTTTGATAATGAAGAAGTAGCCTTTGTTTCATCATCACAGTCATTTTAACAATTTGAAATGTAATGAAAATTTTCAGTGATTGTGTTCTTTTTCTTCAGACAGGAACCAGGGCTTTAGCCTTCTCAACTCATTGGCTGGTACAAACCATAGCATTGGGTCAAGAGAGACCTGTCGCTCAGAGGTAAAGGTTTTTCTTGGATCTTTTTTCTTCTTTGGCTTTAATTTCTCCTTGTCATTATGAATCTTTACACATTCATCATTTTTTCCTTTCCATTTAAAAGGTGGCAGAGAATATTAAAAATAGATGAAAGGAGAATCTAAAACAACCCATTATGCATGGCACCTTGAGAGAAGGCTAGTTCAGCTCTTGCTAAGGCAGTAAGCCCTTTCAAGATGCTTGTAGTTTGCATTGTTCCATGTTTTTTTGCTAAAGTGCTCTCTGAAATGTGCTAGGATTTTCTTGGGGCATAAACTTGCCTCCAGGCCTTTAAATAGAAAATAAAATTGATGGTGCTTTTTATACTTCCTGTAGAAAAGGCCCTGTAAAAATCTGAGGCAAGGTGCCTGCCCTCAGTGAGCTTATGGTCTGATCTCAACCCGTGTCCTCAGGAAGTCTGGTCCAGGTTTACCTTGGGCAGCATGCTGGGACCAAGAGCACATTACTCAGCGCCACACTGTCTTTCTGGGGATGTTCTTCATCAGCCTGTGAGACGTCTGTTATGATTGTGTACGTTCTTACGTTTTGAATATAACATGGACCTTAAATGAAACACACACAAAACATGTTTTAATAGTCTGTAGCAAAATCATAACACTTTCTACTTCTTTCTTGAGGGAATATACTCCTAGGTTAGTGAATTTTTCGCCTTGTATTTTTTTAATGTGATCTTACTCCTTCTTTCTTCTTTGCTTGCCTCTAGCTCCTATTACTGCTTCTCTAAAGCCAACCAGGGAATGAAAGTGTGAGCCCTTTTGGGCTTAGTTCTGAAATAGTTGACTATTAAATTATTGCTTCTGTGTATTTTCCTCAACAGCAGCCCCATTTGCCAGCAGCAGGTAGGACTGAGTCCCTCTCCGGTCAGCGGGGAGGTGCATCTAACACAGCAGGCGCTCAGGTCGACAGCATCGTGGGTAAGTAAGAGGAGCTCTGTGGAACTTGGAATAGGTGTCTGGGCAGAAACCATTGAGGGGGAAACTGGCTTGAAACACGGAGAAGGGGAGAAAACTGGTAGTGTACCACAAATGAATGTGAGCCTTGCCAATGGCCGTCAGAAAAAGGGAGAAGAATAAATATATAACAAACATGTGGGCATCATTTTCTCTTTGATTCTGCAGGATCCTGATTTAGATCATCTTAGCTAAGACAGAACCAAGGTGGAGAAACAGCTTTATAGCTCTGTATTCTGCAGTTTTTTCATAGTACTTAACAGTAGTCAGAATTGATGGTGACAACAATAATACAACTTTATAAGTCCTTTCTCATCTTTTAAAGTTCTTTGGTATCTACTTTCTCATTTGGTTATGAAGTTTGGCAGAGAATTATTTTATGGAGATGAAGCTGACGCCCAGAGAAGTTTAATAACTTCTAGCAAGAAGAGCCTGGGATAGAAACTGTAATCAAATTTACTGTCCAAAGCCAGAAAGTCAAGGAGCTTAGTTGACAATAACTATAACTGTTCTTTTGTTGGGGAACTAGTGATACCCCTACTTTTTCTCTATGCCACAGAGGGCTCATATACAGTAATAAATTTTTAGAACTATTTTTTATGATTATAAGGTAATCCATGTAGAAAACTCAAGTGATTAGTTATAGAAACATATTATGACGGAAAAATTATGTATAATCTGTTTTTATTTCTGGTTTATTCAGCCTTATCTTATCAATCAAATCCTTCCTATTGATTTTTAAACCTGTTAAAATCTCTGCCATTAAAACAAACCATTAATCACACTGAAAGGGATGGGGAAGAGGAGAACTAACCTAAGTAGCTTTGGAAAACAGTAATCAGACTCTGGATACCATGAGGTTAAAAACAGAAAGAACTGAACACAAAAACTGAACTCTACTTAATAAATTTTTCACAGGGGTATGGGTTAGCAAATCTGAAATTACATGTATAATTCCTAACCCTAATCACCTTATATAGTTGATATCAGTGGTGGATGTGAAAGTATTTGTTGTACAGTAAAACATGGTATGAATTTTAGTCATTTGTTGTTGGATCAGTGTACCTTAGTGGGGTGAGTGTGGCCTTCACAGTTGGAAATGCTCAAGTCTGAATACACTTACTGGCTGTGACCTTGAGCAAGTCACTTCAACTGTGAGCTTTAGTTTTCTTGTCTTTAAAATGGAAATGGTATTCCTTACCTCATTACACTGTTGGAAGGATAAAATAAGTTACTATTCATTTGTGAAGGCCGACCGGCAGCCAAGCAGGGCAAGACACCATGAGCTGTAAAGCTGGTACATATTGGGCATTCAGTCATTGGTGACCTTCATCGCAGCTAGCATTCATTGCCTTAGGATTCTGTGGATTTAGCACACATGTAAATAATGTGACAAATCCTTATTTCAGATCCCATGTTAGATCTGGATATTCAAGAATTAGCCAGTCTTACTACTGGAGGAGGAGATTTGGAGAATTTTGAAAGACTATTTTCAAAGTTAAAGGAAATGAAAGGTAATCAGATCCATTGTCTAACATGTTCCCATATCGTTGCTCATCTTTTTTATGTAGTAGCATTTTATTTTGTAACTGCTAGATTGGATCCTGTGCTCTGGTCTCAGCCATCTTGAAGAAACTTAGCTACCTGGGGGACTGCCATCCTCTGTTGGTAAAAAATTCCCTGGGGAAAATTTTTCTTCATTCTCTCTTCCTGCCTCTTTTCCTGTCAATGTGTCTCATAAATGGAATCTGTAAGATCCATACCAATTTACTCACGTCATTTCCATCTGGAATATTTGGAAGACTTAAACTTCCTAATAGCCGTAATGACTACACCATAAACATATGTCTTTGAAACCATCTCCCATCTTCTAGTCTTAGAACATCCATACACTCCAGATTCTCCTGTGCTATCAGACAAATTTCTTAAGATATATTTTCCCCCTAGACAAGGCTGCGACGCTTCCTCACGAGCAAAGAAAGTTGCATGCAGAAAAGGTGAGACAATCAGTCAGGTATTTATTGAGTACCCACAAAAGGTCCAGTGCTATTATAATTACGTGTCACACTTGTGTACGTCTAAAGGATCTTAGTGTGAGCTTTTCATTGGATGTTAACTTAAAACTAATTAAATATTTGTACAATAATGATACAGTTGCTGCAGTCAAACCAAGATTTTTCAATTGTATGTTGAGTGACATGGAACCTTCATTGAGACTCAGGATGTTTGCCTTCCTAACCATTGGGCCAGAAAACTCCTAGTTGTTTTGTTTTGTTATTACTAACACAATACGTGTTCTTGGCAGGAAACTTATATGGTTGATGGTTTTCCATTATAGGAATGTGTCATAATTTATCCAGTTCCCTTTTAGGCCATGAGCATTTTTTGCTTCTATAAATAATGAAGCTATGCTTATTCTTACACATCACCTTTGTACACAACTCTGATTATATCCTTAGTATAAATTTCTAAATGCGGAAGTCCTGGGTCAAATGGTATTCAAGGGTTTTGAGATATGTTCCCAGAGGGCTGGAGGGCAATGTGTAGATTTTAGGTGAGGTCAAAGTATGACATAAGAAACGAGCTGAAATTTAGCTATTTTCCCTAAAATTCGTTGCATGCTTCTCTCCACAGGTGGCCAAAGCATTCTGGATGGCAATTGGGGGAGACAGAGATGAAATTGAAGGCCTTTCATCTGATGAAGAACACTAAATTATTCTTACTAGGGTTTGACTAACAAAGATTCTAGCTCTATCTAAGATAACTTCCCTACTCAATCCAGTCATATTTTGCTGAAATTCCCATTATCATGTTGGCCACCTGACTTTGTTTATAGGGTTCACTATGTTTAGTTTTGAGTAGGGCATTAAGGAGAGATCTTTTCTCCCTCAGTGTATTTTAAGGGAGTGAGGAATATAAGGATAATAATGAGTGAGAATTTCTCAGATACACTTTTTTTGGTCTAGGAATGGCGGTAGAATGAGTTTCAGAGATCTGTGTAATTTACCCAGATGGAAGAAGAAAACCACCAGGCCATTCCTAGTCAGCCCTTTAAGTAACATTCTCTACCTTCAAACTTGATAGTGCACACCAGGGCTGACTTCTATCACCTTTCCTGGGGGTTTTGGGTTTTCTCCATTTAAGGAGCTTGTGGCTCTGAGCAATGATGCTTTTAAGGGAAGGAAATGAGCCAACTGCATATTTGATTTGTACCACAGTATAGACAGGGCCAAAGTTAGTGGCCAACAGGTTAGTCTCTAACTAAAAAAAATGCTTCAGGGCATTTCTTTTGAAGTGTAGTATCTGAACTTATGCTAGAAAGAATGGAAAAAAACAGTGTGAATTTTTAGACTATTATAAATGAGGCAAAAGTTTCCTACTCTGGTGGGGATAAAACTCCTCTAACTGAGTTGTGGGGGGTGGGGTGTGTGTAAGTAAGAGAGAGAAAGAATCTCAAGGAATCCCTATATGGGTCGTGGAAACAGTAAGTGATCATGTACTGAGATTTTTGGGTTAGCATTATTGTGAAGAAACTCTTCTGCCTTAGAGTTCTCCCTGCTACTTGAGGTGCCAGAGTTGTGTTGTCACACTTTTATTATACCCTCAAAACAAGGCAAGTTTCCCCCTCTTTCTCTTTTAAAGCCAAACAGAGAGCACTGCCAAAAACAGCAATACTAAGGGGTGGGTGAGGATGTGCAATGTTGGGCAAAGGATTCCGGAGCACCTTGTTTCCAGGGCTGATGGCCCCTCTGTAACCTCCCAGCGCCATAGCCCTTGGGGAGCACCCTTTGCTCTTTATCCTTTGTCTTCTTCTAGTGGGTCGGCCCAGAGGGACTGATGGCCAAAGGGAGAGTGGAAAGTTTCGCAAATAAAATCCTGATTTCTGTTATCGTAGACACTTCTGTAATGCATGTCATTGTCCTTCACTGTGGTAGTCACGGATGCGGCTCTAAAATGGCACTGAGCACGGTGGGTGGAAGGTGCCAGGACGTGGGCCGAGAACTGGTTCTGGCCTGGTGTGGGCTCTGGAACTGTTCGCACAGCGTGAAACAAACACAGGATAGGTCAAGAGCAGAAACAGAGCTCACACCCCCTCCAGGTGCCACTTCTAAGCACTGGAGAACCTGAAACAGGGGCAGAAGGAATAGAATGCTGCAGGGGCCAGCGGGCCAGAGTGACCACGGGGAGGAGACCTCTCAGAGATTCGGGTGTTCAGGAAGAGGGATTCCGGGAACGCTGGAAGCTGTCTTGCTTAGTGACCTTTTTTTCCTGGTTTTTTTTTTTTTTTTTTCAAACTGTTCCGAAGGACTTTCAGTCCATGGTTCACCGCCATCTCTCCAGTGTTTCTTTGAGGTGGCTGCATTAAGGAAGTTGGCTCTAGGGTTACAAAATGAAAGGTGGAACATGTTTTTGTTAAACTACGGAAGGTTTTAGAAAATATATTAGGCCTCATGGTTAGGAAAAACAGACTAGAGAAAGCTGTGAACTTGATTTTGTGGACTGAACAAAGACAGGTGATTAAAATATGATTTATTTATGAAGTCTGCTAATGTGTATTATTATGCTTTTGTTGTTTTGCAGTAGGGGCGTAAGAGGGGGAAGCTTTACGTCCTTCACTGGGCCAGATATATACAGTGAATAGTCTAAGAGTTTATCAAGCTCACTATTTCAGAATCCACTGTGCTTATGTATAATATCACCATGTTTTTCAGACCTCAGCTATCTGGGGATATTGGCCTCTTCTAGGGCACACATGGAATAGAGGAATCTAGTGGTATCTACTAGCGGCCCATGTTAGGAAGAGTGATCATGAGCGAACACTGCATAACAGTTGCAGTCTGAAGTGACCTATGTACATGTCATGACAAGCTACTATGGACCATCCAGCTGGGATTTAAAATAAGAGACTTGGCTTTTTTTCCTTAAACATTTCTCTATTTGCCTAACACATTTTGTAAAGTATGGTTTGTGTTCAATGAATATGATCACAAAGTTTGAAGATTAGTGTTGGAAGGCAGGGAGATATAAGAATAAACTTTTTTCCCCCCTTTTTTTCCCCTGAGAAAATCATGTGTTATGTAATAATTTTAGAGTGATGAAGACATAGATATTTTTATAATTTTAAAGTACACTAGCCTGCCAGAGTATGAGAAGATTGACAGAACCAGTTTGCTTGCTCTCTATTTATAAAACTTGGCCACATCTGATTCAGAGAAGCTAGAGATTCAGGGACGCTAGACTTAGATGGCTGAGTAATATGGGATGTGGTTCAAGGACCACAGAGCGTGTCAGGCCATTCCTGCAAACCACTCACAACACGTGAAATGTGAGATATGGCTGATTTCACATTCCCACTGAGGAGAGGTGGGGATAAACATTTCTGCCGAGGCTTGTCAGATTCCTTTAAGCTTGGGCCAATCTCTTTAACAATAGCCATCGAGAGAGCACGCGGGGCGCGCCTTGCCTTGCCCTGGCCTGCTGGGGAAAAACGATCTTAGAAGAATCACTGTCTAAGGGTAAGATGAGAGCTCTGTGAACTATTCCGAGCTAGAGTGTTTGCTGATGCAAAGCTAAATTTAGCAAACGTGTCCAGTGTGGTCAGGGGTTCTGATTCATTGAACGTTTTGATGGATGGAGACAGTTTCAGTGGATGCTCTAATGAGTTAGATCTGCTCTTCACTACCCTGCACCCCCCAATTTTACAACAGACAATTTAGCTACAGCATGATTTCGTTAAATACCAAATCTTAATAGGTGGAGAAAGTGTAAAAAATTCTGGTCAAGTGTACTGACCCTGGCACCATATTAGTAGAAGGTTAGTTTGAAAACAACACCCTATTAACTTTCCCATAATTTGTGTGTCTCATAAAAGTGGAATGCTGACTGTGCAGGGCAAATTTCTAGTTTTTTTACATTCCACTTGGAGTTGAGTTTAGTGACCCATCCTTGCACCTTTGGCATGTAAGCTCCTGCAGAAAGAGTCTTAGAAATTCTCTTAAGTTTCGTATTTTAGCATTATCTGTTCCTGTCATTAACATCACGTCTTGCTCTTAACATAGGTGTCTTTACTCAGAGTTAAGTTCTAGCATAGGAAGTTTCTTGATTCTAAATTGTTCCTCTGATTTGCAGAGTGAAGAATTAACAAAAAAAGTCATAGCAATAGTGTGGGCCTTTTTTTGTGCCACTACTGAGTCCCGTTCCAACTCTTAAGTGATTTACAGTTCTATTTTGTTTCCTTTTGGAAAAGTATTGATTTAAAACCTGGCCCTAATGATTATTACTGCATCTTTGGAACTGGGCGGGAAGAAAATTTTTCTTCTAAAACCCTTTCCTGTGTATCTGTTGATAGGCCTGAACACTTCCCACAGCTACAGAGCTGGGAGGCCGTAGATAGCTGTTCATGCCTAGTTTACTAAGAAAGCCTCCCTGGCTCGCTCTCGGGAAGGAAGTGACCAATCATTACCTCTGCCCTTGCTGCTCGCAATCAGGTGGTTTTAATGCTACAATAATGTGGGCTAAGTAAGGCTGGGGATAGGAACTTTATGGAAACAGCAGGATAGTTTAAGAGAGAGAAGATTCTTTTAATCTGAAGTCCTGCACCAATCCTGCCTCGGGAAATTCTCAGGAAGTCATTAATGGCAAAGTTAGACGGCCTCATATTTGTTCCTCTGCCCTGGTGAGAGCAGAAGTAAGGATTCAGGGTCCAGCCAACATTGACTGTGAACTTTGTTGGTGCCAGACTCTGAGCTAGGCGTGGTGGAGGATACAGCATTGAGTAAGGATGTAGTTTCTCTTTTCCAGGAGCTCAGACTCCAACTCAGGTGGGAGTAGGAGGCAAGCAAGACAAGGTCACAAAAGACAGAATGTCTGGCGGAACGTGGAAGTGCCGTGACCAGCCTTCACTGCTGTGGGAAGGAGAGAGCATGAAGTGCATCTTAGAGCAGCGGTTCTCCATCTTGAACTCACACCGCGATCACCTGGAAAGCCCACCACCGAGTTTCTGATTTAGTAGGTCTGGGGTGGAGCCTGAGAATTTGCATTTCTAACAGCCCAGGTGGTGCAGAGCTGCAGGTCCTCGGACCACACTTTGAGAACCACTGACCTAGGGGAAGCAATGCTTGAACTGAGCAAGAAGGATAAAGAATTTGGCAGATAGGCGAGTGGAGGCAGCACAGTTCTTAGTGGGAGTTACGGCATGGGAGCAAGAGCAAGGGGATGTGCTGGGAAACCTGGGTAGTTGACTTAGGAAAATGGTGGTAGATACAGGTGGATGTGTGAGAGGGCTTTGAAATACTGCCTTGTAGAGTCTGTGCCTACTCTGGAGGTAACTGAGGAGCCAAACGTTTTTGAGCAGAAAAGGCATCTAACCATAATGACATTCCAGGAAAATCTGGCAGCAGTATTAGCAGTATCTCCCTAACTGATTAGTTGTGTTGAGAAGGATTCTGAGGCTGAGAACAGACCCAGCACTTCAGTGGTTTTTGCCATGCATAGAGAAATTGAGAATGGTGGTAAGACTAGAGAGAAATTAGGAGAATTTTGGAATAGCTGTGATAAAAGGTAATCAGGAATTACATTTTGGTGGTATTCCTTCAAACATATGTAAGGACTTACTATAGGACAGCAGTGGAAAGGGGTACAAAGATGTTGCTAAGGTAGGATTTACAAGATGTGGGCAATGATTGATTCATTTATTCAGCAAAAGAATACGGTGGCCAAAGGAAGCCAGGGATACAAGAATAAAATGTAAGCCCTTAAGCCCTGCTCTCAAGGAACTCACAGCCTAGAGCAGGGACAGACACAAACAGCTAACACGCGGTACAGGAGATTGCGCAGGTCGAGATGTCTGGACTGACTTGCAAAGCGTCAGTAAAAGTCACCCGGGCGAACTGGTGGTGTGTCAGCAAGGCCGGCGTGCAGGGTGCAGGCGGGGGAGAGAGGCTGACGGAGCAAGCAGAGGGACAGCACGAGCAGGGTGATCCGCAAGGAACTGAGAGTCACTGGGTTGCAGAGTGTGAGGCAGGGAGTGGTGAGAGCCAGGCAGGGGCAAATGACGGGCCAAGTGTTCAGGGTAAAGACTTTCGAATGTGTGCCGTGGACTGGGGGGACCACCCAGGGTCTGCTAGGTTACCGGGGCAGTGTGAATGGTGCGTTTATCGGAAAGCAGTCTGGAGGCTGGTGCCGTTGTCCAGGCACTAGAGGACCTGCGGTACAGGGCAGTGCGGGCGCAATGACAGCAGAGAGACTGGAGACACGGGACTGCTTGGAGGTGGGGAGCGAGGGAGTGGCGGACAGCCGCGACTTCTGTGGATGCAGGCTGGGTAAACGGTCACGCCAGAAACAGGGCTGGAGGCCAGAGGAAAGGGAGATGGCTTAATAAGGGAAATGAGTTGTTTTTTAGATTGTGAGTTTGAGGTACTTGTGGATCCTCCATGTACCAGTAGCCAGCAGGCTGCTGGACATGAGTGTGAAGCTCGGGGTTGGTATCTGGGCTGTAAGTACCGACTTGGGAGCCATTAGCATTTGTGCGGCTTGAAATGGTAAGCGTGGATGAGACCACTCAGGGAGCAGTGGCAAGAGAACACACAGTGGTCTGGGAACACTGGGTGTCGGCCCCAGAGAGCAGCTTGTGCGAGAGGGCCAAGGAGAACTAGGAAGCTCCGGGAGTGGGGCCTTCCGCAAAGGCAGGTTTGGTCAGAGGGAGCGCAAGGGAGAGGAGGAACCGAGCTGCTCAGGGCTTGGAGGATGAGGGGAGAGGCTGCTGATACAAACTGCGCGTCAGAAAAGGGGGCTGCTCAAGTAAGGTGGGGAGATGAGTCACTGCCGGGGGTGTGATGTTTTGGATCACGTCGAACAGGCAGTTGGAATTTAAAGTCGTGGTGCTCCAGGAACAGGGTGGGTTAAAGGTGCCGATTTGAGTCAGCTGTTGAGAAATACAGACTACATAAAGCCTTGGGGAAAGTCCTTCAGGGGCAGGGAAGTGGAACAACTGGCCAAAAAATAATCATAAAGGCAGGAATTTGATGCGGTTCATGGAGGCCAAATCTAAAGGCCCTTACCGAGAAACCTGCCTTCTGGTAAAGGGCGGGCGTGCTGGGACTCTGGTGAGGTCCTTAGCAGGAAGACCGCTGCAGGAGTGGCCATGCTAAAGGACTATTCTCGCCCCATTCTGTCCTCCCCCAAACTCTGCTTACTCAAACTCTTCGAAACCACATGGCATTTTACATTTAATCATCTTGTTTCTTTGTCCACATCTTCTGGGGTCAATGTAAGATCCAGCCAAGGAAACAATTTTGAAGTCCCTTTTTCCTTGGGGGTTTGAGTTCAAAATGAATTTTCACAGGAGCTGACAGTCATCTGAGCTGAAGAGTGGAAAACTTGTTACTTGTGAATCTAAAACTACCTTCACGCCTGTAGGAACACTAGTCCGGTGGCATTTAGGACACGGTGGCAGCATGGAAGAGGCAGGCTAGGAGAGGACTAGTAGAAGCAAGAGGTGGCAGAGCTTGAGGTTGGGGTGGTAGCATTCCATCATTTGCCACTGGCTTTCGGGTACAGGGGGAATAAATGCAAAACGGCATTGCCGAGGTGGCATCACGGGGACCTGTGCAACGTTTAGATGTGGGGAGCAGGGACACGCACTAACCAGGAAGCTTACCTTTGCGTGGATGGCCCAGGTGCTCCTGTCACTGCTAGACTGGCTGGCACTGCACGTTGCCCTTGGTGAGTGAATGAGGGCAGTGGCTATTACGTGAGGACGACGGCAGAATGTGGCCTGGCACGTGGGTGGACAAAGTACATCTGGGCTTGCAGACATTTTCCTCTGGTCCTCCTGAGCCCTGAAGCCCCTGCGACCCTGCTGGGCTCCCTTTTAAATCTTCTCTCCACCCAGAGACAGCAGCAAGAATCAGACTGAGCTTCCGGCACAGGAGCTTTTCCACGAAAAGTTTATTAGAAGGGCACTTACAGGAGAGAGAGGACACAAATCTTTAACGACAGGGGTACAATGCTTAAACAAACAGGTGCTCTGCCTTTAAAATATAAAAGTTAGAAAAATCTAAAACACTATAAATACATACATGCTTTTTACAAAGATATTAAAAGGTCAGGCTGGCTGAATAGTGAAGGTAATCAACATCCTCCAAGTTCTATTCCCACCCCCAGCACACACCGAGAGTCCAGAACAGCCGAGTTGCAGCAGCAGCCGTGAAGGTGAGTGAAGGCTTCTTGGAGAAAGACGGCTCCCGCTCTCTGTGTAAAGTTTTCACCCCTAGGAAGCGAGGGGGGCTTGGTTCAGAGAACCCCTGTAGAAGGGCCTAGATTGGACTCAGAGGCTGCCTGTTTTTACACGCTGCCACCTGTTTAGCCAGCCTGGTTTGGTGTTTCTGGATGCTGAGCCAAAGTCACTACACCCTCCACCGACATTCAGAACTGGCTGTGCCCCAGCTCTTCTAGCCACTGTCCTTGGGAGGGGAGACCTTTCCAACTCTCTTTAAAAAATTAAATAGTTATCTGGATGGTTTTAAGAAATTATTACATAAATATAAAAACACCAGAATACTAGAGTATAACCTTATTTCTGCATTAAAAAAAGAAAATCCACTACAGAATCACTGAGAATTTCTAGATCCAGTTTACATGAGAGGCGAGTTCCTTTTATGTGATAGCTGTGTTTCTGAAAAGTTGCCTGGACAGCAAGTCATTTCCCCGCTGACAACTCCCATCACGGGTGCTTCATCTTCATCTTCGCTCCTATCCCCGGGGGTACATTTTTCTGTTTTCCCTACCCCCTCGAGAGGTGGCTGATGCTCCTTCTAAGAGTGATGCACGTTGTGAAGACTTACTTGAAGGGGTCCTAAAGGGAACATTTATGCCACACAAAAACGATACAGCGTAGCTGTGCTGAGGTTTTCTTCTGGTAAAATGGGGACACGTATATATTTTGGGGAAACTCCCAACTCTAGCCAAGTCACACAGTAAGAAACGGGGTCCAGAGCTAGACTTGTGCCCTCTCTTGCAGCCCCCTTGGTAAGCAGTCCCATGAGCGGCCTGCAGGTTCCCTTCCTACCTCTGCGTCTGAGGACTAAGGAGAGGGGTCTAATGTGTGCTCTGGCCCCGTGGAGCCTCAGAATGGCAGCGTGGGGCTAAGAATGAAATCGGATATTTGCCTTCTCCCAGATTACTCACGTACGTGCATGACATGCACACGCCGCTTAAAGAAAACCTTTCTGTGGCTTGAGTAAAAGCATTTAGCCTGGAATATGATCAAACTCTAGGAAGTCAAGGGGGGATGGAGAAAAACAAAACAAACTAAGCACGTGATACGTGCTACAGCTCATTTCAATACATTAACAATGGATTTAAAAAAATAATCACCACAGTCAATAAAAAAAATACAAGACAACATAAGGACAATGGAAAAGTCTGCCAGCAGCCTTGCCCTCATGTGTGTTCTTCCTAAGAGCCAAAGTCCCCGCTCCTGACTCTGGGCTTGTCTCAAAATGTCAGATCTACAGCCTGCCAGGAAGGTGGCCAGCTGAGATGATGTTCCAGCACAGGCCTGTAATCCAAACCGGCTGGGGGAGCTACCTACGTACGTGCTGGAAGATCTAAGTTACTAAGTAAAGTTGGGAAGAAGAGGGCTAGTGGGGAGGAGTGGAAAGGAAATAAAAGTCGGCTCCTCGGGAGGTGCTGAAGACACGGACCTATGCCCCGATGCCAGCCACACTCGGGTCAGTGTCAGCACGAGCCACAAGGTAAAGACGGCGTCATGGCGGGAGCCTGGGAGAGGGGAACAGCACACGTGGTCATGTCGCCTGGACACGCTACACTTCGAACTGCTACCGAGCAGCCACCGTCACAGCTCTAAAACTGCCCTGGTTTCCTCTTGCCCCTTTCAACTGTTCTTTAAAAAAGTTTTTTAATATACAAATGCCATTCATACAAAAGGATTTTAAAACTAAGAAAACTAGTTTTGTGACTTAAAGGAAGGACACTAATATTACACGTGCCCAAAGCACCTACGTAGCGCTCTAGGATGGGAATGGCACCGTTTCCTAACCTCTTAATTGTGACCAAATTTATTTTCAGTGATGGCAAAGGTGGGCTTGCCTACAGCCTCCTCACACGTCCTCCTGTGGCAGTCTCTGGTCTATAAAGAAAGGGCCAAGGAAGTAGCCTTCAGGTCTGAGCACTGAGCGTTCTAAGCCACCATCCAAATGCAGCCAAATGTGTAATTCATCACATCTGAAGTTTTTAACTTGCCAAAAGTATACATTTCCTTCCCTTCACCTGGAGTAAGACAGGACTTCCGTAGATCACTGGGTCGCCAGAATTGGGCTGTACCTGAAGCTAGTTCCCCAGCAGCTGGGGCACAGCTGTGTGCCACAGGAAGTCCTCATGGGATCGTGTAGCAGGTGGAGAATGGCTTTTAGGAGAGGGACCGTGATTGTTCCAGCAGACGCCAAGGTGGAGTATTTGTGCCCGGGGTCTCAGAGCTGACCAGGATCGCGAGTGCACACACAGGAGGTTCGGAGGCTTCCTGCGTTTGTAAGAGCAGCCCATAGGTCATTTCGTGCCAGGCACACACTTCAGACCCACAGTACTTGGCCTCCTCAGAGAATGCGAGGAGTTCCGTGTTTTCTCTGGGTTCTGCGTCAACATCCCTGCAAGAAGACTCGCACAGGCCTGGCAAGGTGCTCCTTCGGTCTCTTCCTCAGGAGGCTCAGGGAACAGCTCTCCTACCGGGAAGCCTCAAGGCTACCGCTTCATAGGCACAGGGTCCTGCAGGTGAGGTACCAGGGAGCCCCCTACATGTTCCTACAGCATCAGAAATTGCATCACATTTGAGATTTATAACCTGCCAGAAGTATACACTTTCTTCCCTTCACTTGGAATAAGACAGGACTTCCATAGGAAACCCTTTTATTTTTCCTGGTATAAATCCATGCAAAAGTGCTGGGATAAGTCATTTCATACAAAAACAGCAGCAAAGAACAAAGTACCAATTGAAGGTGGCAATTCCGTCTGCGTATTCTGCAAAAGGCCAGTAAAAGAAGACGGCTCTTCTTTCTTTTTTTCCAGTTGAAATAATTTATACTAGTTTTCTCCCTAGTTGCCACTGGGAGCGGTACTTATTCCACAATATAACTGCTGTAGTTGTCACTGATGATCCTCCACCGTGAGCTAGATCATCTTAGATCCCAGGGGGAAGATGGCAGACCTCTTTGCACCAAGCCTGCAATTTTCAGAGGTGTAAAAAAATTTTAATAGCCCTTTTCATTTGCCTGTGTTGGCCCGCAATTTTTCCCTTCTGGTGAATTTGCTCCTGTAAATTTCAGCTTCCGTAAGTGCTGGCAGGTGTCTCTGCAACAAAACCTGGAAAAGCTTCCCCTTGGGAGAGACAAGGGAGAAAAGTAGTTGCTGGGACTCGCTCTGGTTTCTCAGTCAATGTGCCAACCCAGGATTTTTTTGAAAAATATCAAACAAACATTTAAAAGAGCATATGATAAAGTTGATTTAATTACTGCAACTGACTACATAAATCAATATAGCCGTATGCATCAGAATCTGGAGCGAGCTCGTACAGATGACAGGGATACACTCAGGACGGTGCTGCCTCAGCCTCAACGCCATCCCAGGGCCAACGGCCGCCTGCTTCATGTGAACACTTACCATCATTCAAATCTCTTTGAGATTACTGGGATAACAGAAACTCTACACTGCATACGCACTGAGCTGCAGCAGATCCTTCCGACTTTTCAAAGTGAAAAAGGACAAATTTCAGTTTTTAAAGAAGAGGTGGCTCTCACCAATTCCCACTGTCCCGTGCACATGTTCTGCCGAACACGCCCATGCCAACTGGTATGTCCTGAGAGGGGAGGGGGACAGCCAAGCCCCCTCCACACCCCAAGTCATTCTGACTCCCGAGGTGCAGGGTCTGCTGGAGTGGTGGGGTTTGGTCGGGGGTGCTCAGGTGAAGCGTTTGTCAAAAGCGCTGACAGCTGGGTGTGAAGTCTGTTCATGGCCCTGCAGGCTTTTCCTACCAAGGACACCCTTCCAAGGAGAACTCCACAATCCAGTCCTGGACAGAGGGGCATTTCAGTTGGACTGTGACATCCCAGATTGCTGTCATTCAAAAAGGAACGAGGCTGGGGGTAGGGGGAAGGTGGTGAAACACTACCTGTTCTGTTCGCTCAGGCCACCAGAGCAGAAGCCACTTCTTGCCCTTGAAGCTGGCGCCAAAGGGCAGATACATTCAGTAGACATAGCTGTTCATAAAATCCATCTCTGGGTTTGCTTTTGTGTTTTGGAAAACAGACTGGTGCCACTTTAGTTGAGGGAGAAAAACTTCTTCCGTGACAACAAAGGGTTGAGTAGAGTTCCAATCTTCTCCACCTCCTACATGGCTGTTCCCCAAGCCCGCCCTCCCCACCCTCCCCCTGCACACCCAGTGTCTCTAAGACACGCTGGAACAGCGGATGCTCGGAGAGCCCATCTGGGTAAGGACCTTGTCAAGCCACTGCAAAGGCCCATTCAGGTGCAGCTCAATCCAGCAGGGGGTGCTGGTCACTGTCTGTCTCCTGCAAGAAATAGGGAAAGGGGTGGGGGACTTAAAAAATGCCCAGAGGGACACACAAGTCAGAACACCGTTTTCTGCTTTGGGGACAGTCTTCCTGCCAAAGTCAGAGATACATCCCACCTTGCTAGACAGTGCCCTAGAGGGGGTGCCGGTAACTTGCTGAAACTACCAGGCCAAACTTCTGCATCTAGGGAGGACTTTGAAAAAATCAGGTTCTCTTGAGGGGAAGGAGGTGGACCTCAAAGAGTTAAACATGGAAAGTCGATTCCGGGGTGCCAGCCAATTACTGGGACGAGCCCCCCAGTGGAGGACCTCCAGCCCGAGCAAAGGTGTCCCTGGCTCCCGTCTGCACCGAACGGGCACCTGTAGCGCCCCATCTCCAGATCCAGGCCCTGCCTCGGCCGGCGGCGATGACGTGCGTCTGTCTGATTGAGGGGTGTTTTTTACAAAGCGCCGACAGAGCCCACATGCCTTCAGTTCCCAATGTGCTGATATAATTCCCATCTACGGCCTTATTTTGGAAAATCTTACGAGCAGAGCGAGCCATGGAACAATTACTGGAAAAAACCGAGGCACACCACACGTTTCTTTTCCCCAAAGCTCTTTGTCTAATTTCAGGCTGGTGGATGACGCAGCTCCCAGGCGGGCTCCCAGAGGCCTCCACTGCGCAGAGGCTATCTGCTGAGGCCGGAGTCGCCGGTGCCAGCTGGAGGTGAGAGGCATGGGCCCTGGGCCCCGCTTTCAGCCACCTCACAGAGAGGAGGACTGAAACCTTACTCTCCTTGGCCCCAGACGCAGAAGGAGGGCAAGACTATTCTGGGAAGGGGCCGCACCCGCCCGCTAGGCTGCAGGGCAGTGCTGCCAGGCGGCCGTGACGCGGTGGGTCACACAGGACCGGGTGGGCCGGCAGTGCATCCCGTACGGTGATACGGTGCCCCCGGGGAAGCCTTCCGCCACCAGGGAGCCACTTCCCACCACTTGGAGCGGGAGGGCCCGATGCCGGACCAGTCTAGGTCTGCTGTCCTGAGGGCGCCACCCTCCGTGCTGGGCCTACTCTTCCTCCGAGCAGCAGGGAGGTTCAGAAATGGGCTCGCTGTCTCGGCCCTGGGGTGTCTGCCTGACCCAGGGTGCCTGAGCGTGGCCCTCCGGACTGCAGTCTGGCGTAAGAAGAGCAAAGGGACTTCCCCTTGCTCTTTCCCAGTGGGGCCCATCTTTAAATATTTCCCTTCCCCACTAAAAAATAAATATTAATTTTCTAACCTTTCACTCTTGTTCCCTAAATGGTCTAAGCCGGGCCTAAAAGGTTGGCTAAACCGGCTCTCCAGCGGGACCTCTGGGCCCGGGCCAATCTCCCGAGGCCTCTCCTGAGGTCTGACCACTTCCATTGCTCAAGCGGCCACGCCTTGATTTCAGAAAGACCCCAGAGACCAAAGCGCTACGTTTCCTGACACCACGGGGCAGACACAGAAGAACGGCAGCTAAAATACGGTAAATGGAAGAGGAGGATTTTACAGACCGAAATCCTTTAATGAGAATCTGACTTTCCATAAGTCATGCTCATCTGGATTTCATTATAAACGGTGGCCCAGAGCCAATATTGAAATGGGTTTGGCCCGGGTGCAGAATGACTGCAAAACAAAATGGATTCCAAACATCTGGAAAAACGAAGAGAAGGGCAGAGTCGCTCGCGAGGCGCTGGCTCCAGCTGACGTGCGGGCACCTCCGCATCCGCCGCGGAGCTGGGGCTGGCAGGGGGCGTGCGCAGAAGGAGGGGTGCGCGGCCCCTGCCCCTCAGGAAACTCCCAGCCACGTGGGGCAGGACAAGGGACTGGATTCTCTAAACGCAAACCAGAACTGCCCGAGAGATTCAACGGGCAGACCAGTAGACCTATTATCAGTGCCAGGTTCGACCAGTATCTAGAATTCTAAAGAAAAGAAAACCATTTACTTTTTGAGCAAGAAAACCTTATTCCTTCATCACCACCCAAATCTCCTCCTCCCTTCTCTGATTCTGTGTGAATTTCCTCGCTCCTCAGGGTCCCCAGTGTCCCTGGGTCAGAGATGGAGCCACGGAGAAGGGAGGGGACAGCGAGGTGAAGACTTAACTTCCTGGAGAGGGTCGTTCTAAAGCCATCTGCGCAAAATGGAGGAGGCGGCAGTAGCCAAGAGGGCACAGTTCCAGGCTCGGCTTTCTCACTCATGATGTGACTTCAGCCAAGTCCCTTTCCCTCCCTAGGCCTCAGTGCTCTCACCTGTGCAGCAGGGAGGACGCCACGGTCCCCACCCGGCGGTGGGTGAGGATAAAACAGGACGCGTGCGTTCAGGGCGCCCGGGAAGCTGTTCCGAGCTGGCGGGTTCTGTTCTGCTCGGGCCTCACCTCCCAGTGCTGGCTCGGCCCCTCCCGCCTGCCAGGCCGGGCCTCTCTCTGAGGGCTGGCCTGGCTCGTGCCCTGGGCCCCGGCCCACCCTGCTGTGCGGAGCGGCCGGGAGCTGGGTCCGCAGTGTGGGCGGCAGCGCACTGACCTGTACTCTGCGCCCCAGCCTTTGACGAAGCTCATGCGGATCGTGCACATCCGGGTCAGCTGGTAGACGGCCTCGAAGCCCTGGTTGACGGACTGCGCCAGGAGGGCGGCGAACTCCTGGTTGTTGAAGATCTTCAGGTTGCATCCTGCAAACAGGCAACAACGGCGCCATGGTGGAGGAGCGCACACGTCCGCCGCTCCCCTCCTGGAAAAACCAACCCCTGGATGCCCCGGCACGGCTTCGTTCACGCGGCTCCAGGCGCGCACGCTGTGTGATGCGTTAGGCACACGCTCCACGCTCAGAGCCACGAGAGGGACAGGCCGACTCGGACCCTGCACTGGAATCCTTCAATCCGCCACCACCCCATCGGGAGACGTGGCTGACACACGTGAGAGCGCAAGTCAAGGCTGGCCCGCGAGCTCCAACTCCCAGAGCTGGGGGACGTCTGCAGAGCGGCTTCTGAGAACAGGGACATGGTGCGCAGAGGTGGGCCTTGCCCGGCAACGGGGCCGGGAAACAGAGAAGGAAGGGGCCTCGCCAGGGTGCCCGTGCCGTGGGGTCTGCTGCCCACCTGGGACCGGCAGTGCCGGCGGTGCCACAGCAGAGAGCGCCAGCAGGGACAGGC